GTTGTTTCATTCAAGAGAATATTGGCGATGGTGTAGGTGTTTCTTTTATATGGTTCTATTTATTTACAAAGAAAAATACAGTCCAGTTTCCCTCAACCAAGAGATATTAAATAATAAGAGACAGTGCCTCTGCTGACAGCTCTACCCTCTTCAGCCAGTGCTCAGCCCCAAAAGTGCTCAGTCTCTACGGTTTTTACTGGGCTGCTGTTTGTCAAGCCTTCAGCCAGTGCTTCTTTGCAGTCTTCTCTTAGCTTCTCTTTGTATCTCTTTACTACAGAGAAACCCAAGCCTTCACAAGAGAACAGACAACAGCAAATATGTGCCAATTGCTCTGGGCAGTGATGTGTCTGTGTTTGGAAGAATGACATGTGAGTACCATAAAGAAACTTAACTGTATACCCCCGCAGTTTCAACAAAGCTTAACCCAGATAACCCAGAGCCTTGCCAAGCTTGCTTGTTTATGCCCATCATAGCAGGGTTGGGCACTCTCATGCTGTCCCCAACTCCTCCTACTTCAGACACTGCTGTGCTTTCCCTGCCACTGACTGTCACTAGCAAGCAGGATTGGTGGTAGTTAGCATCAAAGAATGCAGCAGCAGCTGCTAAAGTAGGGGGTCTACAGGTGGAACTGGGAGCCATGATTTGCACGTGCCCAAGGAACTTTTCATGCCTGTCCCACTACCTAAGTTGAAACATACTATACTTTGGGAATTGCTGACATAATCCATAAAGGCCCAGTCCTGCATCTAGCTTCTATGGAGGTGCCCATATCTACAGCCTGCCAGTTGCAAGGTTGAGGTGACATTTTTATAAAGATCTTTTCCCAAATACAGTTTTTAACCACAGCTCCTTTAAAAAAAAAAAAAGAGGAAGATGAAATACAGATTATTCTCTCACTTGATTATTCTTTATACATTATAAAAAATGCTGTTAGCCTATTAAAGGCATGGCATCACATCTTTAGGCTGAACAACAGCATTAACGTGTATTTAAAAAATATCCTCTACTATCCTAATAATGCATTTCACCCTGAGGCTGTGCTTAGTTGACTTTCAACATTACTTACAAGTCTACTGGCACTAGGGCTCCTGAAAATGAATGCCTTGTTTTAAGACAAGCAATATCACAGATTTTTTTCCTAACAAGATCCGTATCTTTTAAAGAAAGAAAACCCTCTTGGCTTTATTATGCCCTCTGGGAAGATTTTAGGAACATTTTTCATAATAGGTCTCTTTCCTATAGTTCATTGCTATTTTCACATAACAGAACATAATTTGAGCTCCTCCAGTTTTTTTTAATGTCCTCAGTCACTTATTTTCTTTTGTTGCTATATCATTTCAAAACCTTAGTTAAAGCTTTACATTCAAAAGAACTCTCAAAGTATTCAGAAGAAAACTGGTAACGGGTCCTATTGAATAATTCCAAGTTTCTCATCCTCTCTGTCTCAATAGGCATGCATGAAAGTGTTTAAAATTTGAGCTGCTTTTTGCTGGGACAGCTGTTGGAATGTGCAATTGTGCCAGCGGAAAGAAGGGTAATGCAGATACTTATTCATAGAAGTAATTACAAGAGCAAGTCATAAAAAAGAGATCTGCAAAATAAAATTATAATAATAATAAAAAAACTAACAAGATTTTAGTGGAGACAAATCATTCTTCTCCTCTTATAAGACCCCCAGGGGATGCACAGTAATTGCTTTGTAGTAACATATTAATTAAACAAAAAAAAAAAAGACCCATCTTTGGTTTTAATGGTGCTTGTGGGAAAATGGAATAATAAAATATATCTTGCTACAGCCAGACTCCTTTATTTTGCCTTATTTTTCTGAGTATGTTGCCTTTCACAGGTTCAACAGTAAACACTGGCTTGTGGGAAGGTAAGACTTTTGAAGTTAACATAGATGGCTTAGGTGCAGTTTATAACTGACACTTTTTGGATAGTCTGAGCTGATGGTGGAAAGGGTTACTTCAAACACAGGAACCAGACATAGTCATAGTTCTTGCATTTTAGGAAAATTGCACCTTGGAGAGCTGGACAACACAAAACCAATACACCAGTAGACTGACCTTTTGCTTAGGAGTAGATTTCATTTGCCAAGACTGCTCTAGACCAGTGCTGGAAGCAGTACTAGCCATTCCAAAAGGTAAGAAGGGACAGCACCACAGTTGCATCCTCCCTTCCGCACAGGGAGTGTTTGTGGGCACCTATTTCAAAGTTCCTGCTCTGGAGCATGTTTTCAAATATTCCTAAAAGAGTTCTGAAAGGATTGTACCCCAGGACTCTTGCCCTTGACAGCTGCAGCAGCAGTTCCTCCACAGCTAGGAAAAGGATGACTGCTATACCCAAATTACGACAAAGAGTTCACTTTGTTGAATGGGGCCCTGGAGTAAAGATGGAGCATGCCCGTCTCTTTTCAAGAGAACCACTTTTCAGGGAAGCTAAAGATAAGTTTAACTAACATTCAGATCAGGCAATGGCAATGCAAAGACATACTCATGCCTGGGAGAATGGATGTAGGCCAGACCCCAGGAATTCTGAGCTGTTATTAGTTGTTCAGTTTCCCCAATAACTCAAGTCATTAATTCCCCAAATTTGCCAGGTTTACAAAAGTTTATATCCCTTAATAAGGATGCCTGAGGTGTGGGGGGCGGGGATGGGGGGTGCTTTATTGGGACAACTGCCATCTTTTCTGGTCTCTGACTTTTCCTGGTTGCCTGTGGTCCTGACTCAAGGAGCTACCATCCAGTTCTGTTCCTGAGAGAGGGAATTCATCTCCTGTTGAGGGGACTTGGTATAGCTGAAACTTCCAAGCAGCAGAGCAGTCTTTTCAGTCTCTTTGCTAGGTGTCATATCTGTCTACGTTCATTCTGAAGTCACTCAGAAACAGGCTTTTGGGGACTTCTGCTTTAGCCACACTTCTGCAGCTTAACCCAGAATTTCTAATATTTAGCTACACATTTATAGCAACAACATACAATTCCAATCTTTATATGGCAGAGGATAAATACAAAGTGGAGGCACGTATGCCAAGGCCTCTAATGTGTGCCTTACACTTAGGCTAGAAGAATATTTTGTTGGAAAATAGTTTATTCACTGAAATTAGTTCACTTGTGTATTATTCAACACAAACTATTAATAACAGTCAGGTTGAATTCAGTGAATAATTTCAGCTAAATGAAAAATGAGGACAACATTTTAGAAATGTCAAAGTAAATGTTCCTTGGGATAGAGAAAGCAATGCTCACAAGACTCTGGCCTGTGAAGTGCAACACTTGGGTTCCAGCCCTTCACTGAGATTTGTGGCTGAATCAAAAAGGTTTAAAACTGCCCTGGGTTAGTAATGACCAAAATTTTATCTCCTGACATCCCAGATTAAGTTGGTATAGATATACACATCACCTGTTGATACTCTAATTATTATGCACATTATGGGCTTATAAAGTACTAATAATGCTAGATGTGACAGCTCAAATCTCCCTCCACAAGTGTCAGAAAACCAACACCACATCATGAGAAGGAGATACCATGAAAAATACTTCTGTTCTAATATTAAAAAAAAAATCCAACTTTCCTTAATGGGAACAGCTGCAGGTTTTAAACAGGTGTGGAGAATGAGAAACTGGGCATGTCTACACAAGACACTTTACTGAGCAGTGGAGCAAATGACTGCATAGTAAGTGCCACTGTCTACATGTACAGACCATTACTGAGCAGTCATTTGCTGTACTTGGCAGTTAACTTGCTACCTGCAAATGCAAGTAGCAAATTAACTGCTGAGTAATTACTATGCAGTAAGGCAAGTGTACACGGTGACAGGGAGCAAATTTGCTCCCGGTCAGCTGAGCAGCAGGCGGCGAGAGATTGCTCCCTGCCCCCAGAAGCTGCCTGCTGTCAAGGTGGGCTCTGCCACTGGAGCTCAGGAGGGAAACAATGTCCTGTTTTGGGCAATCTCCAGCCTGATCCAGACTGCACATGAAGACTTCGCTGCACAGCCCAGGGCTGGCTGGGAACTGTTTTGTTCTAGGGCAGCTCCCAGTCCCGCAGCCTTTCCCCACCTTGAGCCCTGACTGAGCAATCGAGGCAGAGAACTTGGAAAGAGCTGCAAAGGAGGGGCAGATCCCAGCCCCCTGCCCCAATCTGCTGGTGGGCCAAGTAGCAGCAAGCTCTGGCTGGGCAGGGAATCCCTTGGAGGGGGACCTGCCCCTCCACTGCAGTTTTTTCCAAACCCCTTGCCCGACTGGGGAGCCACAGCTGGGAGCTCCCTGCTGCCATGGCAGGGGTACATTTTCGCCACTGGAGCCTGCCCCAGCAACAGGCAGCTCCTGGGGGCAGGGAGCAGTCTCCCGGCTCTTACCAGAAGACAGCTGTCTCCTGGCCCTGTGCTCCCTGCCAGCCCCTGGGCTAGCAACCAGGGGGAGTCTAGACCTCCCTCTGGCTGCTGCAGTGGGGGCAGAGCAGGGCACTGACTCCTAAACATGATTTTTACTCAAGGTTGATAAAGCAGAACTCTGTGGGTAAGTTTTTATTGCCACTGCTTAACTTCCATCCATGCTGAAGTAAAGCAGAGGTGTTCAGATGGCAAAGCTATTAAAGAACGGCATTTTTATACATTTACTCAGGGAAAACCTAAAGCAAGACAGAAAAATGACCTTCTCCATTACAAGAAATTTCAGAGGCAGCTTTATGGTAGGTCCAGGTTTGTTATTTCTCCATGCTGTAATAGCCTTTGTGTTCAATTTGTAGCCCACACATTTTTAACACTGCATCTTCATTTTATTGTTTATTATTAGATCGCTCCAAGGAAAATAAAAGCTTAAAACATCACCTACAATGTCTTCCATAAATTTCTTTCTGTTTTCTGTCAACTTATGCAAAGAAAACCTTCTGTGTCCAGAATCTGACTGATCAGTCATGACAGAATTTTATCATAAATTAAAATAAAGTTCTTTTTAGTCTTTCTGAGAGTCTTGTACCCTTCCCAGAAGTATGAGCCAACTTACCATTGGCTACTGCCCAAAGACGCTCTTCCTGGAATTGCAACATCTGGTATGTAAAACCCATTCCTTCCTCCCCAATTAGGTATTTGCAGGGAACTCTGACATCTTCAAAAAATATCTGAGCCGTATCTGATGATTTCATGCCCAGCTTGTCTATCTTTTTAGCAATGTGAACACCTAGAAACAAAGGTGTATTAGAAAAGCTATAGGAAATAAAAGTCTACAGTACAAATCTTGTATTTAAAAAGAATAACAAAGAAAGTTCTATACTCAAACCTGTAAATTAGAAAGTTTGTATGCTTAGCCTAAACTAAAATTGTAGGTTAATAAAACATAAATATGCCTTTTTTTGTGATCAATGTAACAGAACATCTCTATGCTATTTTTAAGAATGCCACCTTTATTTTAAATTAGTAAATTAGTTTATTTTTATTAATTAAAAAACTGAAGATTTTCTAGCAGAAACCACCTTTTATTTTAATGGACCCCCAAAAATCATACATCAGGTTTCCCTTTATGTGCTACTTTTAAATTCAGAACAAAATACAGAAATTAATGTTAATTGTCGAGAGCCCATACTGCAGTAAATCGGTAATAAAATATTTGTAGAGTATGATGGAAAACAGAAGGTGCCATGCTTTAAACTAAAACTTATCCTTGTCCTTTAAATGAAAAGGCATTAGGCATTCTGTAAGCACTTCATATATCTGCTCCTTTAGAATAGAAAGCTGAAAGTAATTATAAATCAATGTGTATGTGTGTGTACATTACACACACACACACACACACACACACACCACAATTCACAATCAACTTAATTCCTTAAACTATTTACAGTACTGACCCCCTTATCCCATCCACTGAAATAATACTGAATGGTGCATAAAAGAACAAGTCTTTCATAGATTCATAGATTGTTAGGGACTGGAAGGGACCTTGCAAATCATCGGGTCCAGCCCCCCTGCCCCACTCTAGGCAGGAAGACAACTGTCCAGTCTCCTCTTGAAAACCTCTAGGGTAGGTGATTAGCTTTTCAAGACTATGGGTGATTGTACACGCCACAAAATTGGCCTTCAAAGCACCTTAAATGCCTTTTTGCGGAAGATAAATGGCACTAATGGTGTTTAACAGTGTTGCTGCTTATTCTGCTTTAATGGCATTGCTGTTTGCACTCTCGGTGGCGTATTGTGCT